TATATATATATATATATATATATATATATATATATATATATATATGTGTGTATATGTATGTATACGCAATGGTGGCAACTGGCCACGTTACTTTGTTATAGAATTTGCATATCCACTTGGTATTCCTGTTTCCAAGGCTCATTCCCCATCTCCTCCGTAACGTCATCCTATTTTATTCATATAGTTTGGTTTTTTTTTTTTTGTGGTTATGTGTTTGTTTATATGTTTTTGTGATTGCCGGTAAAATGTAATTTTTAGGATTCATTAAATGCGAGGAATGTGTATAAATATTTATCGAATATAAATAATGTACACTTAAAAAATCTATGTCATAAATACTTATATTTTTGTAGCATTAGAGTTTCATATTAACTAGACTTCAACTATTTCTTCTGACCGTATATTGTAACTTATCTTCTCTCCCCAAGTACTTTTTTGGAGGATGACCCGTGGGGTCCTAATATTTTCGCATGGCGTCATGTGACAAGCACATCCTTAAAATAGATAAAATTAACCATTGCCAAACCAGCAAGGACATATACTGATTCAAGGTCTACAATAAAAAATTCATCTCAAGAGTTGCAACGGAAATTTAGAGTATAACTGATGAGATTTATTACAGAAACTAGAATGAAATTCATGACGACTATCTAACTAGGAGATACATCCTCACTTCAAGTCTATAGTTCACATTTTTTCCCTTGCCCTTGCTAGCCGTCTCAACATGTTACTTCCTTGAAAAAAAATTCAGTTTTATTAAAGTGAGGGTTAGACGAGAGGTATAATGAATTCCCTCTAACACAAAAGTTATCGCTGGAACAATATTAGAAAACATAATTTAAAACAACAATATGTACACTTAAATCATAAAACACTGGCACCCGTTGCAACGGTTGAACACGCTCATGGTCATGTACACTTGTAACCAATCATTCGGGTTCACACCTAGCCTTGATTACGAGCTACATGAAATGAATTCATGTGCTCCATTCGGGTATACACTTCCAGTAGTTCAAGACACCATTGTATACACACACACACACACAAGAACTCGCACTTTAAGAATTACTCAATCTCAGGTATATGGAACACACTATGCGAATTCAAGACCAATAACAATCCCAACATAAATCGTAAGTATTCGTTTCGTTTGCCAAAATAACAAGAGGAAACTCACCTGGAGCCTAAGCCTAGTGACACACCCCTTAGGTTAGGATTTCATAAGCCGAACACCTGGATTGGGTCATCCAACGATGAGTTAATACCCTAATTACAATCCAAAATTAACTATTATCAATATCCTATGACAAGGATCCAAAACACAAACCCAAATTGCCCTCTACACAAAGTCTGAAAATGAGAACACAGTGAGTTACGTGACCTGGCACATGACATAGGTCATGGGTTTACTCGCGGGACTCACTGTCCCCCTGCTTCATTCATGTTCGAGCTGCACAACTCCAAACCTAATTCCTCATCAATTTCCACCCTAATAGGCATGCATAGACACTGTAAAATCAACATAGAATACTCTACAGTTTTCCTAACCCGATCTAACTATCAAATGTATGGGTTACCATACCAATTGATAGGATTATACACATTTAAAGAACCTTTGATCGATTTCAACACTAAGTACCATAGGAACTGATCATAAAAATGAAATACATGTTCCATAATAGATCCTCACTTAATGATAACCACAAGGAATTCATTTCACCCAATTTAAAGCATTTAACCAATTCATAGAACCCAAATCCCTAAATCAAACCTCATTGAAGGAAGAAGAAACAATGGAGAATGATGACCTTACTAGAGAGTGAGCTCCAATCTCCTGACCTGTTACAAATCTTCTATTTGGCTTATTCGTTTCTCCACGATCACATACACACAAGTGTTTTCAACCGATTCCAAATGAGAAAAGAGCGAAGGTCTCTACCCCTTTGGACATCTATTTACACAATCAACCCCCGACAAACATCACTTTTAAACTCTGCCTTTCTACTTCATTAATTTACCAAATTTGAGAACTTGAGTTGTTAGCTATCATAGTTAAGACCTACTGCTCGAGGGACCTAACACTCTAGGACAGAGGTAGACCTAGAAATTTTTAAGTAGTGACACAATTTAACTATAAAAAATTATCTAAAGAAAAATTTCACAATATTAGTATAATTTGATGGTTGGTTCCTTGTCCCTTCCCATGAAGCGGTGGCACGTATCAAATCAATATAGGTCCTCCCCTACTCTGGGAGAATATGTACCCATCTAGCTAGGGTGCTCGTGGGTTGGATTGATTGGGTTGAAGACATTTGAACAACTCAACCCAGTAATTGCGATATGAAAAATCTTAACCCAACCCAAACTAAAGTGCAATACAACCCAACCCGTACGGGTTGGTCGGGTTGATATTTTGGTACATTAAAATATTATTCTAACCTTGAATATGTTATTTCTCTACTCATAATTCTTTTTTCATCATCAACCATTTGATACAACTTATCCATACTTTTTACATATATCGCATTCAGTTAATTTTCTCAAATTTACATATATATATATATATATGTTCATAGTTACTGAACATATATATGAATGAGTTATATAGAGATTTGAATAGATTGAAAATATGTGTATATGAAGAGCATACATGATAATGTAATTGTCTAATATATATATTAGTAGAAATTCAACAATCATATTAAAACCAAGAAATAAAATGATATCAGATTCATCGGGTTGGGATGAGTTCAAATAATAGTAACTCAATATCAACCCAATACCTACGGTTTGACAATTTTACAACTCGATTAGACATCGGGTTGCTTCGCATAGGGTCATTTCGTGTTGGGTTGGGTTGGGTTGATCGGGTTTTTGAGCATCCCTACATCTATCCCTCTAATCTATCTTGCCTTAGACTAGACTTTGACCGTTTCTCGTGAATACTCATTAAAACTTATGTTTTATATTTAAACGCTCTTTTCAAGGATAGACGAAAGTTCGTGTGAGAATATGAATTAATGTGAGAAGCATAAGAAAAAACCTAGATCTTTGATCACTTCTAATCTCATCCTCACCACGTCTGCTTCTCATGAAAATTGGTCCAGTTTATCTCGATGTATCTCGTTAATGTTGATCTTCAATTAGAGTAATCTGAAGATAAAAACCCTTTTCTTATATAACTTTCATTCCTAACGGAAATTAAACCTTATAGGGTGCGTTTGGTTTGCGGGATTGGAATGGAATTGGGGGGATTTGGATTTGAAATCCATTCCAATCTAGTGTTTGGTTTGCTGGATTGTGAGGAATTGAAATCCAAGGATTCCTTTGAAATTCCATGAACGATGGATTTGGAAATCCTTTGAAAATACACGGGATTTTAAAATCCATTCCCACAGCTTACATCGCTCCATCTTCTCCCACAGCTTACATCGTCTCCATCTCCATATCCAGAGCTAAACTCGTCTCCATCTTCTCCCACAGCTTACATCGCTCCTCCATTGCTCACCATCGCCGTTGCCCTCCGTCTCCCTTCGTCTCCGTCGCCGTCGCCCTTCGTCTTCGTCGCCCTCAACCTTCGTCTCCGTCGCCCTCAACCTTCGTCTCCGTCGCCCTCAACCTTCGTCTCCGTCGCCCTCGTCTCCGTCGCCCTTCGTCGCCGTCGCCCTTCGTCTCCGTCGCCGTCGCCCTTCGTCTCCGTCGGTGGTCGTCGCTCACCGGTGGTCGTCGCTCACCGTCGCCGTCGCCCACTGCCTTCTCCCATCACTCAACAGGTAAATCCCTTTTCCCCTAAACTATGAACACAGATTAGGTTAAATCCTTCAATTTTGATAGATTAGGTTGAATATACATTTTGACATATTAGGTTGAATAATTAGGTTCAATTTTGCTGTAGTTCTCGATAATTTTGCTATAGTTCTCGATAATTGTCAATTGAGTAAGGAGACCCAATACTACAAATCCTACAAACCAAACAGACGATGGATTTTAAATCCAATCCAATCCAAATCTCATGGAATCCAAATCCTTCATGGGAATCCAAATCCCTCAAAAATATTCATGCAAACCAAACGCACCCTAAAAGAATAATCCAAGATTCTTAATTCACATGTAGGATCAAAATCGTTTTGTAGAAATAACTTAGAACATGAATAAAATACTTAAAAATAATCCGCATCATCATGATTTATTTTATTTTATTCTTTTTGGTTTTTAATTTTCTCCATAGCAGATGGAGTATCAAGATTCCCTATCATTAAAATTAAATAAATTATTAATAAACAATTAAAAGTATGACGTCACTTTCCCATTATAAATCTATTTCTTTCCCTCACCTTTTTCACATCATCTTTCTCCTCTCTCTCTCCCTTCACCATAACCTTCAGCAATGAAGCTCCCTTCAATGGCCATTCTCTTGCTTTTCGCTCTCTTCGCCGTCTCATCCGCCGTCGACATGTCCATCATCGGCTACGACGCCACTCACATGACCACCGCCGATCAATCGTCTTCAAGCTGGCGCACTGACGACGAAGTCAACGCTATGTACGAGTCATGGCTCGTTAAAAATGGTAAGTTTTACAACGCCCTTGGGGAGAAGGAGAAGAGGTTTCAGATCTTCAAGGATAACCTCAGGTACATCGATGACCATAACTCCGGCGATCAGACCTATAAGCTTGGACTCAACAAGTTTGCAGATCTGTCCAATGAAGAGTACCGCTCAACCTACACCGGTGCCAAGAGGATCGATGCTAAACGGAAGTTGAACAACGTGAAGAGTGATCGCTACTCTCCCCGTTCCGACGATGTCCTGCCGGATTTCGTTGACTGGAGGAGCAGTGGTGCGGTCGCCGCCGTCAAGGATCAAGGAAGCTGCGGTGAGTTCTTCTATTAAATTTAATTTTCCATCCTTTTGGAATTTTGAATATTTGTTTTTATTATATTGCCAATAATGCTCATGAATAGACTAGAAAAGGGCATATAATGATCGAAATCCAAATTTCCATTTTGCCTTTCAGTTTTTTTTATTAACATGGATATTCAAACCGTTATTCGAGCCGACTAATCCTACGACGATCACCTGCTTTGCAGATGGCCCGGAGTCACTGCATTTGAACCTCCGTGGTCACAAGTGCATTTTTATTCTCTTAGATTTGAACATTGGATTTGAACATGGGACCTTCTGATACTTTTGAGCTTTAGAGTCGAGCTCAAATCTAAAAGAAACCACCCTTATTGTTATTTTGCCTTTCATTTTCATTATCTTACTGGACCAAATACCCTCTAAAAGCATCTTTAAGGAATGTTTGAAAACTAATTGTACCCTTTAAATTTTCTTACCGACATACATCAGCATGGGTACCCATTTTTACATTTCTAAAGCATGAAGTGACTTGATTCCTTGTAATTTTCGAAACGTAAATTCAGGAATTGATGAACTATAAGTTCAGTGATTTGGATTTCGTTGAAATTTGGTTGAATTCCTTTTGCAAAGTTCATTAATATAATATGATCATGTTTTACGAATTAAAGGGAGTTGCTGGGCATTCTCAACGATTGGATCAGTAGAAGCAATAAACCAGATCGTGACAGGTGAATTGATCACATTATCCGAACAAGAGCTCGTGGATTGTGATACATCTTATAACGAAGGATGTAACGGGGGTTATATGGATTACGCTTTTGAGTTCATCGTCAAGAATGGCGGTATCGACACAGATACCGACTATCCCTACACGGGCAAGGATGGGAAATGCGACAGTTCCAGGGTTCGTATCATATTTTTTCCCCTTGTTCATCAATAGTTATGTCAATATGACTGTTGACAATGTTGCGTTCTCCGTTATGCAGAAAAACGCGAAAGTTGTCTCTATTGATAGTTATGAAGATGTTCCTATAAATGACGAGTCAGCATTACAGAAGGCTGCTGCAAATCAACCTATAACTGTTGCTATTGAAGCCGGTGGCAGAGATTTCCAGTTCTACACTTCGGTAATATCTTTATTCTTGTCCTACAATCTTTGAATTTATTGAAAGAAATATCTCCATCGAAATAGAATTATTGAAATTTGTCATCATCCTAGAATCCAGTTTCTTGGGTAATTTAAAATCTTTTGGTGTCAACCACAAGGTGGTGCCTGATTGGTTTGAGCTCGACTCCAAAGGTCAAAAGGTCTGGAGATCCCAGGTTCAAATCCAAGAAGGAACAAAAATCCCCTTGTGGCCACGGAGGTTCAAATACGGTGACTTCGGGCTATCTGCAAAGCAGGTGGTCATTCTAAGATTAGTCGGCTCGAATAGCTAGTTGGATATCGAGTTAATTAAAAAAAATACTTTTGGTGTCTCCATGGAATCTTTACTGGTTGTGGTTTTGTCATTTGTAGGGGTGGGTGGTGTTTGGTGGAAAATAATTTCAAATTAAATTTTAGCCGTCTCCAAAACAGGCATCCCTTTTGCTCCAACCCACCATTAAAATATTAACTTTTTTTTTAAATCGAAGGATATAAACGATTTTTTTTATTAACTTGGATATCCAACCTGCTATATGAACCGACTAATTTTAGGACGATCATCTGCTTTACGGGTAGATAAACAATTTGTAAGGGAGTAGATGAAATATCTGCATATATCCTCTCCCATAGCCTACCTCAAGTACATCTCTTATCCCTCCCAAACTAAGGGAATATTTGGTTAGAAGTATTAGACAATCATTAAAATAAACTGTTTGGTTTTATATAATATAACGACCCAATTCTTTATAATCCTAAATTTCCGTTCTAAGTTAAATTGGGAGAATAAAAATTTATTCTCATTTTTATTAGCTGTCATTTTCATTTTCATTTTCATTTACTTGCCTGAACCAAACATTATGTCTGGTATTGGGTCACCTTAAACACAAATATTTTGGGGTTCTTGAACAATCCCCAAAACTTACACAATTAATTTTGGTTTGCTCAGGGTATCTTCAGTGGTAGTTGTGGAACAGATTTGGACCATGGTGTAGTTGTGGTTGGGTATGGGACCGAAGGTGGCAAGGATTACTGGATCGTGAGGAACTCTTGGGGTGCAGAATGGGGGGAAAAAGGTTACCTAAGAATGGAACGCAATATCAAACAGAATGTAGGCAAATGTGGAATTGCAATGGAACCATCTTATCCAATCAAGAATGGTCAGAACCCACCGAACCCTGGTCCATCACCTCCGACTCCGGTCGCACCTGAAACGGTTTGCGATCAGTACTACACTTGCCCTCAGAGTACCACCTGTTGTTGTATCTATACCTACCGTGGCACTTGCTTTGCCTGGGGTTGCTGTCCCTTGGAGGGTGCTTCCTGCTGTGACGATCATTACAGTTGCTGCCCCCATGATTATCCCGTCTGCAACGTGCGTCGTGGCACATGCTCACAGGTAAAATGCCGTTTGATCGACTAATTTTCAACTTCAAAGGTGTTTCAAGTTGTTAGTATTACCATTCTACATCCCATCCCCGAGCCCTAAATGAGTTTTTAATTAAATTCAAAACCATCCGGTCTCGGGTCATTTAGGGATATTGACCTTCTGACCTATATAAGAAAAAAAAATGGCTACTCATGAAAAGATCATTGATTTAATTAAAATCTCATTTAAAGTTATATACTTAAAAAGCTTGGCTCCATACTCATGAAAAGGTCATATCAGATCAGAAGATCATGAATTTAATTAAAAACCCATTTAAGGTCATATCCGTAAGTGACCCTGTTTTTAATTATGGGAGCGTGGTGAGGAATAGGTTTAGAAGGTTATAGATTTAATTATAACATCATTTAAGGTCATATCCTTAAATGAGTGCTTAACGGGTGTTTTCCCTTTTCTGTAACAGAGCAAGCATAGCCAGTTGGAAATCGAGGCATTGAAGCGCATTCTTGCCACACCAACTAACGTGAAGAGGAACGTTGATTGAGAAGGCATTGTGGTCGTATAACAAGATAAAAGAACACAACCATCGATGTTGTTATACGCTTGACGACAACTGCTTACCTCATTTGTATTATCGTAATTTAAACTGATACAATTGATTGTTATCCGATGGGACCTGTTGCCTATCGGTTGCCAATTTGTACATACTGCATTGATTCTTGTACTGAGTTTGAGCACGAGATATGTTCATGTCTCTCTTTTATTTCATATTTGTCTTAATAAACCTTCTGAAATTAAACAACTTATCGAGGAAATCCACGTGTTCGTTTACCTTTTATCTTTCATCGAGCTTATTAAACTCACACCTTGTTTGATTCCACAATGGCGTAGGTATGGACATTTTTATTGGACCCAATGGTTTTACTGGTCCTGACTGGTCTTTTTCAAACTAGATTTTTTAATGTGACCAAACCAGTCCGGATTTTTAACTTATTTAAAATCCATTAATTTTTCTTTTTTCTCCCAGACCAAAAGTCCAAACTCTATTAGTTTCCAGACCGTATTAAAACCAAACAAACTTTTTTTGGACCGATCCATATCTAGAGGTGAAGGAAGGAATCTGATTATTAATGATTTGAAGATTAAAGCTACTACGGCTTCAATTTCAGATAAATTTATGTCGAAATCATTTGATGAACAAGCTCAAAATCGATTTTGCTTTTTATGAACAAGTTCTAGACTATTGTTTGTACGAACTCCTATTTTAAATTAATTAAAGACTAATTCAATAGCCACAATTATAGGCTATTAATAGCCGTTTTGGGGTTTCTGAATAATCCTCAAAGCTTACGCAACTAATTTTTGCTCACGTGCAAAAAGACTGCTTGCTCGGCTAATTTTCAACTTCACATTTGTTTCAAGTTGCTGATACGTAACCATGGGTGTTTTCCCATTTTCTACAACCGCAAGAACCGCCCATTGGAATCAAGGCGCTATAAAGATAAAAGAAGACAACCATCGACGCTTGATGACAACTGAAAGAGACATCATGTCTTTATATCGTGTTCCTCTTAATAATCCTCCCCTCATCAAACAACTTAAGGAAATATAAGTGTTCGTTACCTTTTCATTTTTCATCGACTACTAATAAGACTAATTCCATGGCTATAAGAGCCCTAGCAATCCCTGTATTCGAACCCACTTTGACCCTTAACCATTGAGTCACAACCCAGATGGCTATTCAGTAGTAAATTTAACTCAAATTAGTGTTGCTAGATGAAACTCCTCTCGGGTATATTGTGTACACTTATACATTAAAAATGTAAAAAGAAAGACGAAGAATGATGTTGATGTTGAAGTAGTTAATCTTTATATGATCAGAGAGGTTTATTTAACAAGTAGAAGGGGGGCTCATTTTTTTTTTATTAACCTGGATATCCAACCCGCTATGCGAGCCGACTAATCCCAGGACGACCACCTTATTTGCGGATAGCCCGGAGTCACCGCATTTGAACCTCCGTGGCCACAAGGGGATTTTTGTTCCTCCTTGGATTTAAACCTGAGACCTCCTGGTATTTTTGACCTTTGGAGTCACCCATTATTGTTCATTCTTGTTCACGTCACAGGGGTACAGCAAAAACTGCTGCAAAATTGGATTCAATTTATTATAAAAAAACAAAAAATAAAAATTATTCTAGTTTTGGAACAAAAGCAATCAAAATCATACCCAAATAATTGCAAATTTGTCCTTATTAACTTAATTGAGATTTTACATCACTTTCCTGTGCTATCCTTTTGGGTCCAAACCCTAATTCCACAACCAAGTTCTGATTCGGGTCAAAGCACCCGTGCTTCCTTTCTTGATCCGGATCCTTGACTTGAGATATGCCATCGTTGCGAATCCGGATCGGGTCATTGTAAGAAGGCATTTTGTCTAGTTGAGATTCGAAGTTGGAGGGCAAGAGGGGAGGAATGGGCCAAAGTGGTGGGCCGTGGGACCCGGTTCTCCCGATTTCTTGGATATTGTAACCCGAACCAAATGACAAGATCGGACCCTTGTGAAGTTGACTTTCTCCACCACGGATGTTGACCTTTGACCCGATTACTTGTTGGGCTTCATCGGATCCAATGACATTACCACCAATAACTCCTTTGTGCTTAAGTGGGTTGTACAAATGTTGTATGGTAGAAAATGGTCTTTGAATAGAGAATAACCCTGGGATGCTACGTAAGTAGCTGAATTTCCTCTGAATGCTTATCACTAGATTCAGATCTTCAAGAACCTGTAGCCATTTGTTGTACCATCTGAATGAGACATTGTACGCTTCGAATGCCAACAAAGAAATGTGAAAGGGGATAACTACAAGAATCACCATTTTGAGACGAGAAATATCATAAAATGACCCTATTTTTTATGAATATAATTAAATTATTTTTTATTAACTGATTATTGCAAAACAAATGTTTTTAACATATTTTAAAATATTATTACAAATAAAACGTCTGAAATCCCGTGAAATACCAACTATCGTAAGAGATTTTTAAATCCAACCTTTTGTGGAATTTCAATTCCCAATTTTACTTCAAACCAAACGTGAAAAATTGGAATGAAATCCAATTCTAAATTGCACAAAATCCTGTAAAATGAACAAACTTTTAGAGGCATCTGGTTTGATGTAATGGTTTTGAATGATTTGGATTTCGTGGAAGGATTTGAAATTAGAGGTATCTAGATTTTCTGGAATGATTTGGAATTGGAGGGGAATCAGTGTTCGAAAAAACTTGCCGCAACAGCCGTCATGGCGGGCCATGGCTTAAGGCGTGATCTCACGCCACGTTATGTCTGTGGCACGCCATGACCTAATGCGCAGTTTTTATAATAAAATATTTGATTTTTCTTACCTTTTTAATGTATTATTTGTTAGTTTATAATGTATAACTTAATTTAAATTACTTAATATCATTGACTCGTTGAGTAATAGTAGGAAATATATGTTCATATGTATAATAATTTATATGATATAAAGATTTGCAGCCATAAGTCACGCCTTAAAAAACGTCGCGACCTCGCCGTGGCTCCTAAGACTTGAGGCTTGACCTCGCCGCCACGTCACGTCTCATGCCATTTTGAACCTTGAATGGAATTCAATTCCAAATCTCTCCATATTCAGTTTAATTCTTCAAACGAAACGGAACCTTAGGGGACGTTTGATTTGCATGATGAAATTTGGTGGAATTGAAATCCATCAAAGAAATTGGAATAAAATTTGAACATGCATTTAATTGGTAGAAATTGGAATGAAATCGTAGAAATTGGAATGAAATCTCTAGAAAGAAATTAAAAGGGTAGTTTTGTAAATGTAAAAACAACATGATATACACTAACCTTATCAAATGAACCTAGTTGGATGATGCCTTCTCTGACAGATATGATTGCAATCGTCTGATACATACATCAAAACAACATTTCTACATCATCTACGGCTAACTCTTCCACTTGAGACCATCAAATAATAGATTTTGATCGTAAGGTATGGATGACTTTTACATGTATATTATTTGGGGGATAAAAATCAGATATTATATTTAAAAAAAGGCAAATCATCCTCAAAAAGTGAAAATCACCTCCTCTATTCTGTCTTCTAGTGAAGACAACTTATGACGCAACGATTTGACATATCAATGACGATATGACGAGACATCGGGGGCGATTTTCATTGGTATTTTGTCTTTTTTTATGATCAAATGTAATATATGTAAATCTTGTAGTATTCTCTATGAAATTGTAGTGATCTAAACACTTATACTCTCACAACCCTTAACCCGCCACTTTGAACATATATGGAACTATTATCATTTTGACGTGATTTCATATTTGTGTTAAGGGTTGTGATGGTAGATTGTGTTTAAGGGTTGTGAGAGTAAAAATGTTTGGATCACTACAATTTTATAGAAAATACTACAAGATTTATATATACTATATTTGGTCTTAAAAAAGACAAAATACCAATGAAAATAGCCCATGATGTCTCGTCAAATCGCCATTGATGTGTCAAATCGTTGCGTCATAAGTTGTCTTCACTAAAAAAACGGAATAGAGGTCAAAATCGGCCCAACAAAATGAAAACGATTTCACATATATCAAATATAACATTTGATTTTTGTTATGTGGCATCCATATCTTATAGTCAAAATCACCCCAAAATAGTCAAAATCGCTCTCCAGATGGTCATTTTGTGAAAAATCTCTGAAGATGGTCATTTTATGAAAAATATCTGTAAATAGTCATTTTGTTAGCGTACCATGTATAAAATGTTTATTTTGGGTAATTTCATTTTTTACAAGTGTGTTACAATAAGTTAGTATATGGTTTTTTTAAACGTCTTTTTAAAATAAAATGTTCAATTAATTCTTTATATGATATATTTATAAAATAGTCCTATAAAAATAAGTTTTCTATGAAAAAATATTGTTCACAAACAGTTCATAATAAACTTAAGTGTCATATGAATTTGTTAATACGTAAAAAAAACTAAAGTATCTTGAAAACTTGTTATAACGTTAAAAAAATGTTGTATCAACTTATTGTAACGTATTTATACATGAAGTATAATTGTTTATATACAGGATAAACTTAGGGGACATTTACCAAACGTTTACACGGTAAGTACTTACCGAATCACTTACCTTACTGGATGTACATGGCAAGGATCAAAGATCAAAATCTTATCCAGTACCCACTATGGGGCCATTTACCAAATGCTTATCGAGTAAGCGCTTACTACTGGCAAACATCAAATGCACTTACCTTATCGTGTAACATTTTTAGCCATCAAAATTAATGGGTAAGAGCCTTTTCCGTGGTAATACTCTCGGCCCGTGCCATATCTTTTATCGGATAAGACTTTCGGTCATTGTCATGTTCAATTGGTAATGTAAATGACATTAGTAAGCATTTAGTAAACCGCCCCTAAGAGCGATAGCAAAGACTAAGACTCTTACCCAGTTAGCAACTTACCGGATAAATTGTTGTATACGATGTTGTTTCGATGAACTAAAATCTTACCCGATAAAGTAAATAAATATTGACTCTCACCGGTAAACGCTTACCGAGTAAGCATTTAGGTAAACGTCCCCTTAGTAGTAGACATCTTTGATGTCTTACCAAATTAAGTCGATTTTATCGTAACGATGGGAATAGTTTGCTGACCTTAATCCCCGAATTGAAATGGAACTCCCAAGCTTTTGGTTGCTGTTCATACATAAGTAACAAAATATAAGAAATCTTGAGACAATATATATATATAGTCAGGATCATGAGAAAACCATAAAAGAAATTGAGTAACACTCTGATAACCATTCATCTGGACGGTATCTACATGTGCATATAAGTAATTTGTAAGCAATTTGTCTTGTATACACATGTGCATAACATGCATAGAAACCAAGAAACAACTTCAATTACTCGTGTGCATATGTGCATATCATACAGATAAATTGTTATCAGGGTATCCGTTAGTTTTTTGGGGGTTTGATTAGATTTGGTTACAAGATCAATAGATGCATTCCACGATGAAATGAAGCTGGGATCGTTCTCATTTGATCCATCTTTGAACACCCATCTGTGACTATTATCTGCGGCGACTTTGCCGATCAATCTGCCACTCAAAAAGCACTTCGTTAACTTTATTTACGAGTGAGATATACTGTGTTGGTTTGAATCAGATATATTCTTACCCTTCTCCGTAATTGTAAACCTCATGGGACAGTTTGAAAAAGACATCAGCTCCAAACCTACTCTTCAAGAATCCATGATTCCCGACCCGCTCGCATTCATCAAGATCACAAAACCCGTCATCCCAAACAAGAATCCTACGACCGAGAACTGAAACAATTAGACACAGACTCGTTACAAATTGGCGCAAAGCAGGAAACTTTACCAGTTTCGTTTGTTTCCTTTGGCTCGATCAAGAACTCCGCCTTCATAGTCCCACCTGCACCCAAACAAACGACGTTATTTGATCTAGAATTGGTCGAAAAACAACACACATTTGTCGGATAACGGAATTCAAGTGGTTGATTACTTCGGAGGAGGGTAGATTCTCGGTGAGATTCGCCAGTAAACGGCATAAACCCATTTGGGATCTGATGAAGAAGAATCTGATGAAGAACAAGTGCAGAGATTTTTTAAGGTGTGTTGTATGAGACAAGTTAACATAGGAAGTCCTGCTTCCATTGAAAATAAGGATTCAAGAAATCTTGGATGGTTTTGTATATACGTATGTATATATATGTATCTACGTATGACAACGTTGTGGAGTAGGAAATGGGAGGTTGCTCGTGGAACCCGAATGCTAGATTTTAGAAAAATAAACACGAGGGGGTCCCCGTTGTCTTGTATCGGGGGAGATTTACGTCCTCACAAGTTTACAGAATACAACTGTACCGTTTTTGTTGGTGTCGTTATCACAATTAAGTCGAAAAGAGGTTTCCGTGATGAGCGTGCATAACGCATGCCCACTTGGTCGATATGGCAGACCCATGTCCGTGTCTTCAAGTTATGTTTAGTCCCCCTCGGGCGTTGTTTGTGCTGTCTGAAAACCTAAATAAAAATATGATATCCCCAGATCTCCCGTTCCCTCCAAGTCTCACCAATCATTTGAATAAACTTTATTATCTTATTTAATATAAATTTATTTAATTCACATTTTTATTTTCTCAACACCGTAGTGATCACATAGTTTTGTGGACTTGGAAGAGGACACGAAACTGATTTTTTACATTTTAGATGTATGAATTGATCTGATTCTGATATTAATAAAGAAAATGCCATTTTTTAACGTTTTTTTTTTTAAGTAGAAAAAAAAAAGGACCATGGGCCTGTGTATGACAATTACCCCTAAATGCCAGCTGAAATGGAAGGATGAGGAATGGTCCTCAAAAAGACTATTGACAAGACATGTGATTTAAAATAAAAGGGATCGACTAAATGCACTGTTCCAATTATTAATTACATCGAGATGAAATTGACGTGACATATGTTTTTAAAAACATAATTAAACGGTGCATTTAGTACATCCCACGTTAATTATGATTCATCGTGCATATGTTTTGTTGTTGTGTGATATTTATGATATCATGAAGACCAAAGAAGAAAGAAGCAACTCGTGTAAGCATCCCCAAACGCAGTAATCAGAATCAAAATTGAATTTTTCTTACACCGGAAAACTAATAATCACGACTTCAAATGGTAATAACCATTTAAACCACCCTTTTCCATGTTATAGCAGTCTTTATATAAAAGTCATTCTATTTTTAAAGGTAGATGACAAGTCTGTATACATCCATAAAGAATTTTAGATCCTACTTTCCAAGTGGGAATATTGAATGAAAGGAAGGAGATAAAAGTAGAAATCCAAAGGGAAGAGGGTATGCACTTAACACCCTTTGCCCATATGGGCACTAGTGGCATGGTCTCCCCACCACATCAATAATAACTCTTGCCTTTTCTAGGGACACAAACCAATAGGACAATTCTGTAATATCAATCTCCAATGGCATTTCACACAATATCCTCTTTAAATGGTCCCAAATTGCCCCCCATGGCCAGGGGGCTAAGGTCCACAAAAACCCTCTTTCCTGCTTCCAGGATGGTGCCTTTCCAACTGTGAACCAAACCAGAAACCTATCAATTTGGTTCAGAACCAATGGTCCATGTCTGGTTCTCAAAGCCAATCTGAGCACAATTGTTTCAAGGACGTTGAATTAAAACGCAAATAATGCGTTGCTAAAAGAGAGAAATTCATCGTTACATAAAAAAGGCCTTCCAAATGTGCATTGGTCAAAATTTCAAAAAGATACGAAAAATTACAGGGAAAATGGCTACACAAATAATGAACTTTTCTATCATCTATGGGAAGACAACTAGAAAATAGAAGTAGGCTGATTGGGATTCGGATTCGCATAGTTCCTGGTCCCCTGAAGAAGATCCTTTTGTTGCATATTTCAATTGGAAAGATGACATTTGAAAATGAACCCAAATTATCCGCAGAGGACCAACTGTTTGAGGAGTTTAATCGGTTGGGTAGCTCAAAACATATGAAGAATTTCACCCAATCAGTATTTTTTAAGTTAACTCACCAAAGACTCAAGGTCTGCCAGAGGCTGCATCATCATCCACCACTGCTTTCTTTCCTGTGTAACGCTGCAAAAAGATGAATGTGTCTCAATCACACAAAAAGTCTACGTTTACGAAAGAGAATCCACGATGGAATAGCTTTTTCTTGAATGTTTTTCCCAAAAAGTGGGACCCACAACCAAAGGGCCATTGGCTTGGCCGTATCTGGTAACCCAGCCTTCCTAGAGGTCAAGGGTTCAAATCTTACCAAATGTGAGAAGTGTATGAGAGTTTCATTTGCGGTGTATAAAGATTATATATTAAAAAAGAGACTTATTTTGAGGTTGTGCAATTACAAGCAAAAAGAGGATTTTCGGTTGTCAAGGTTTTTTCACAATGTGATGTGGCCAAAAAGCTTTTCAATAAGCTCTCAAAAAGCCTCCACTGTGAATGCTCTAAGCGCATCCACAATGAAGCTTTTTGAAAACTTTTTGGGGGAGCTTTTTTCCAGATTGTGTGAAAAAAGCACCCGACAAGAAAAAAACCATTTTTTGCTTGTAACTGAACAAACTCTCAATAAGCTAGTGGGTCCCATTTTTTTGGAAGAATCTTTAGCGAGAAAACTTATAGTTGTGGATGCTCTTAACAAGAAAAAAGGTGGAATTCTTCTATATACAATTTGAAGCAACTTTGAAGGAGGGATCTTGGAGCTACCTGTTTGCCGAAAGAGAAGGGAACGTATCTATATTTGACCATGTGCATTATCTGTCTCTTCATCGTTGAAACGAACAATACCATCCAATAGAACAATAGAATTGGCCAAAATACAGGCACATCAAACATAGTGAAGAATGTGAGCACAAAAGCAATACAAAAGCCTCTTGTAATTGAATACCTGCAATAGTGCACAACAGAACCATATCTCTTATTATCATTTTTCGTAAATCATTCATTGCGAAGCAAAATCAATGTGTTGTGCTTCTAATAAACTAACAATTTTATGTTACATGGTTGTAGACATAGAGTCGGGTTCACGTGAGACCAACCAGTTTTCGTGAGAGCCGTGAGACCACAAAATAACACTAAAACTTCACTGCAAAACATTGTATGAAGATAAAAAAAAGTCCGAAACTTCACAGCTAAAGATTGTACGAAGATAAAGAAAATTCGAAACTTCACTGCAAAACATTGTATGAAGATAAAAAAAAGTCCGAAACTTCACAGCTAAAGATTGTACGAAGATAAAGAAAATTCGAAACTTCACTGCAAAACATTGTAAGGTACGAAAAACACCAAAACTTCACAGCAAAATCACTGTGAAGGTTTACCTTCACAGTGTTTTGCTTTGAAAGTTAAGTGTTACTTATGTGGTCTCCCGGAAACAGACCGGCTTGGCATGATCCCAAGTCTCTACAATAACTAGTGTAAGCAACATAACCTTCTATATTTTGGTCTTATGGATCCTTAGTAGACATTGTCTCAGCCTAAAGGACGAAATTGGTAGTTGCAGATGCTAAGATTATGGAGTTGAACTAAGCATCTACTTTAAGCACAAGTGCGTTCTTTCCATTTTCTTAAATGCCCGTCATATTTGACATTTAACTCCGTAAAAAGTTACCTCACCCAGCCCTTTTTCTCATAATTCCATTTGTTGCTCGTTTATATTCAACTAGTTTTTGACATCGCGCGTTGCGCGATGACAATAATTTTTTTTAATTATTTAAGTTAGCTAAATGAATCGATGATCACGTTTATATATTAAATTAATAATAATCAATAATTACTTTGATATGTAAATCCACTTTATCATTATTGATTGTTCTATCTATCTATCTATGTATCTATATATATATATATATATATATATATTAATAAGTCTTATATATCAATTTTTTATTATATCAAACTTTGTAATTTGTTCAAAATCATTAAAAAAATATGTGAAAATATTGATCATAATCGTGAGCTGTATTGTGAGAATTGTTTTGTCATAATACATATCAATTTATCTCCTACATATATTCTCATAAAATATTCATATTCACCAAGCAGACATTTTGTTGTTACCTACTTTGATATAATTGTTGAATATTTTTGCAATTTGCTCATATTAGTCATAATATACTCATTTGCATCATTGACCAACAACCTCCTTGAAACTCCTCTTTTCGATGCAATTGCACAAAGTGGAACAATAGTATTATGACTATTACTGATATATAAGAGTCTGATTGATTTGTTATTTTTTCATTTGACTTAGTTTTTTATATTTGTTTTAAATAGTTCATAGTTTGGTTTCTCTATAAAAAAATTAAAAGATGTCTTAATAAAATTATGTAAAATAAAAGATATGTATTATATTGATTCTAGTGCTAATTTGTCTCTATCTTTTATATT